ACGTGTATACATGATAGAACTTAATAAGTATACATGCTAAGTCTAAAAGTATACATTCATGCACTTACGTTACAATAAACGAAACTATATGCAAAATAACACTTACATAATGTACGTAGAAATAAACTGTCTTGAAATATATTCAAGACATATATATATATATATATATATATATATATATATATATATATATATATATATATAAAAGGAGACAAGATACCACCCTAGGAACTAGGAAATCATGCATATAGTAAGTGTTCAAAAGAGACTGGGAAATAGGTAGCAATGGGTTTGACATTCCCCCTTCTTAATATGTAATCTTGCTATAAAGCAATCAAGGATAAAACTGTTTTGTTATAGAAGTAGCTGCCCTAATGTCTGTTACAAGTAATGTTATAATTATTCATTGGATACTGTCGTGAAAGTGATCATGTAAACTAAGTACTGTTCAGTGTTAGCCAAACATATTTTCTAGAGTTCCTAGAAATAATATAATTACAAGGGTGGCAGGTTGGTAGCGTGCACGACTTTGATTGATTAGGTCATCGATTCAAAACCTGCCATGGTCTGAAGTTAGAAAGGGCATTCACTCAAGGTACCAGTCACACTGCCAAAACCAAAGTCCTTCTAAAAAAGGCACTGTCCTAGTCCTTAACAGAAAAGGGACAAAACCGGATCATTATAAATAATTAGAAGGGGCCCATGGTAGCTCAGTGGTCAAGAGCGCATGACCTGGGAAATGATGTGCCGGACTTACATAGATTAGAACCCGCCATGGGACATTAGGAAGGGCCTTTAACCTCCAACCCACCTGTGTGCACCCACATTCAAATGTGGACTTATTTAGAAAATTTTAATGGCAAAATAAGAATAACCAGAAACTTGGTATTAATACAAAATTTTCATCTAATAGACTACAAGTGTGACAAGAAACATATATTAAATACGTAACCATCTACATATCCGATTTGCATAACAAATTTATATATAAGAATTCAATTTCACTAAATATTATGAAGGATTCAGTTACATGAGAAAACATCTTAATATTTAGTTCTTTGATGCATAAAAGTTAATATTACACTGACTTAGCAATCAAAATGGTATGGTACTAATAACATAACAAAGCAATGAAAATCCATATACAGTAACCCCTCGTTTATCGCGGGGGTTCGGTTCCGGGACCGGCCACGATAGGTGAATATCCGCAAAATAGGAACACCTTTAAAAAAAAAAAAAATCACATGATTATGACACCAGGACGGGCCAATAAATGATAAAATAAAACAGCCTTTATCAGGCTGTAAAGAGAAACAGAGATTGAGAGTGTAATGACCTGTCAGATGTGAAGGGATTATAAAAGATGTGTAATGAATATCCAATTCTCTGCTGGGTTTTAATATACCTCTGAATTACTTTCATGATGTCTATTCAAAAATTCTCCTTAGATATTATTATTATTATTATTATTATTATTATTATTATTATTATTATTATATTATTATTATTATTATTGGCAACAATAATTTTCCTTTGATGATGCTTGTGGAGATTATTATTATTATTATTATTATTATTATTATTATTATTATTATTATTATTATTATTATTATTACGAATTTGTAATTAAACCATTATGTTTACAATAAATAATGTAGTATTGGTTGAATGAACAAGAGTTAATTAAAGATGTTTCTCTCTTTCTCTCTCTCTCTCTCCAACATTCTATTCTACCCAACCCTCCACACTCTCTTTCTACCAGCCAACTAGGGAGGGGCACTACACAGTTATTAAAGTAAATAAACCAACTGATGTACAAACAATGATGAGCCCTTAATAATAATAATAATAATAATAATAATAATAATAATAATAATAATAATAATAATAATAATAATAATAATAATGATAATTATCTCCACAATCATCATCAAAGGAAAATTATTGTCTCCAATAATAATAATAATAATAATAATAATAATAAAACCTAAGGAGAATTATTGGAATAGAAATCATGAAAGTAATGCAGAGGTATATTAAAACCCAGCAGAGAACTGGATATTCATTACACATCTTTTATAATCCCTTCACATCTAACAAGTCATTACACTCTCCATCTCTGTTTCTCTTTACAACGTGATAAAGGCTGTTTTATTTTAAAATTTTTTGGTGTCACAAGATCGATCTATATATATATATATATATATATATATATATATATATATATATATATATATATATATATATATATATATATATATATATATATATATATATATATATATATATATATATATATATATATATATATATATATATATATATATATATATATATATATATATATATATATATATATATATATATATATATATATATATATATATATATATATATATATATATATATATATATATATATATATATATATATATATATATATATATATATATATATATATATATATTTTATTTATTTTTTAAAATCCGCAATGCACTGAATTCGCACAAGGTGAACCGCGAAATAGCAAAGGATTACTGTATATATATATATATATATATATATATATATATATATATATATATATATATATATATATATATATATATATATATATATATATATATATATATATATATATATATATATATATATATATATATATATATATATATATATATATATATATATATATATATATATATATATATATATATATATATATATATATATATATATATATATATATATATATATATATATATATATATATATATATATATATATATATAATGCCAAAAAAGTAAACAAACTTCACTGCATTTAAAATAACCAAATTATTGCTATACATCAATCTCATAATTGACTTGCATGTTATATAAATCATAATGTATAGTCGATGACGTGAACATCTCGAAATTTAATTGGATGGTATGCATAAACCTTGCAAAGAATTGTTTTGAAAAGAATATCTTATGTTACAGAATAAAGAGCAAATACAAACATTTCCACTCTGTGAGCAATTATATTATTGGCGACACTATTAACTAAGAGACAGAAAGAAGTTTTGTAATCTTGAAAGTTCTAAAAGAATTCCATTTCAAATCATTTCACAAATGAGTATCACTCTGAACTTAATAGAGGGACTATCTTTTGTGCGTCAATCCTTATAAGTGCATGAAGTTATACTTGCAGTCACAGTCTTACCAATTAGTTATAACACTCAAATATCATATATTCAGTATATCATATGGCAAAGATTATCTAAATCTAACACAATATGTAGTACAACACATTTCATTCTACACAAACGGTTTTGATATTAATCAGGCATGTCAGTAAAGAAGAATTTTATGTACAGTAAGCCATGAACATTCAGTTGTCTGTGAGCTGTAACTATTTTGGGTTTCATTGCAAAACTAAACAGTTTATTAAAAGTTTTATCACAGTGCAAAGACATGTAACATTTTTGCTACTAAAAAAGCTGGCAGTTTTGATACATCACATAGAGATGATTTTAAAATAATTTGTGAAGTGAGTTCAACTACGCAGCAATATTACATAAAAGATTTGACAACAAGGCTAACTACACAACAAACCAAAATCTATCAAGTATAAATTTCCAGACAATATAGTATATACTGTATACAGTATTTTCAGTCTCGGAGGACAGTATTGTCTTAAAAAAAGTATATAAATCTTTGAAAATAAAAAGTTATCTACAAAGGAGTTAAATCTCGTGTACATGGCTCTTCTACCATCCTGCATCAGAAGATTCTCTTTCATAGATGGTTTTTCCAAACTCGTTATTTATTTATCACTTTAAATACAACAGGCTAAGATTTACACACCATATGAACATTAGAACATAAGACTTACTCTGAATATTGATATACTGTAACATATTGCAGAATTTGTTACAAAAGAATATTTGAAAACAAGATCTACTCTGAATATTGATATACTTATTGCAGACTTGTTATAAAAGAATATCTGAACACAAGATCTACTCCGAATACTGATATATTTATTGCAGACTTTGATATAAAAGAAAATTTTAATACAGTACAAGATTTACTTTAAATATTGATATACTTATTGCAGAATTTATTATAAAAGAACATTTAAACACACAATCTATACTGAATATACTTAATGCAGACTTTGATATAAAAGAATATACGAACACAAGATTTACTCTGATTATTGATATATTTATTGCAGAATTCGTTATACAGTTGCACGAGTGGCAGTTAACAACTGTACTACAAGAAGTCCAAGAGTAGTCGCCGTGGCTCAGTCGGTAGCGTCTCCGACTCTGAGGCGTCAGGTCGAGGGTTCGCGCCCCGTCACGGTCTGAGGTTAGCAAAGGCATGCACTCAGCGTAAGGATTACATCTGCTAAAACAAGTCCTTCGCAAGAAGGCAACCGTCCTAGCCCTTGGTTGATAAGGGAGTCCGTGACGTAAAACCGGAACCACTACAAGAAGTCCAAGAGATAACTGAGGGATTGCAAACACACACCTCACTATACAGTATTAGCAAATATGTCTTCATAAATGGATCAACATTGAGGAAGTATGTGGCACAGCATATACGAAGCTTTAGAGCTTAGAGGGAGGGATAATATAATCATATATTTACACTAGAAATATCACTCAGATTCCTTAAATTTACAAAACATTTATCACATCTCTTGCACCTTATCACTACTGTATTTATATTCATATCACTCCTACTATAGCACAGCCTCAGAACACTCACTAACGAATTTCTTTGGTTCAGTAACCCTTCACTGGTAAAACTGAAAAGCGTTAGAATTAAACATTATTATTCCAAGGGAATGCCTCTTATTAAAAAAATAGATAAACAGCTTCTTTAGTCAAGGGATAAAATGGATTATTTATCACCAATAACATTTACCTAATTATAATATCACATTAAAAATCACAAAAAAATTTTCTTTGGCCATATTTCAAATCACATTTTGTGAGATTTCCACATCTATATTTTGGCTTTGGACATTTATACCACAAGTAAATTTGATTTTTTTAACGTTATATTACCGCTTAAATGACAGTTATATTAACTGATCTATCACTGTTTCCATATACTGTAACTGCACATTAAACCAATACATCTCTTTCTAGCTAGGCTTTACTTGCTCTCATATTCAACAAGTCAGTATAATCATATAAAGCTAGGAAAAATAACCCCCGAAGACCTAGAGCAAGATAAACGCAGATGCCGGGGTGTAGCTGCTTATATGTTGGGGTATTTTACCAGATCTAACATTCATGATTTTATTTATTATCAGGATGAAATGGATTTTGTAAAAAAGAATAACCCCAGGGGTCTTTAAGTTATTCTTACTTACAAGGCAAGATATCCTTGCCTGCCTATACCCTGTGGATGACCCATGCAGGGTGGTAGAGGGGATATAAGGCGACCCTTATCCCCAAGGAGCTAAGAGGAGTAATTGAAGCCACTGTATATAGACAAGGAAAGTCACCTAACCTATACAACCCTGACCTAATAATTTACAGGGTTATTCATATTCCAGGGGTTATTCATCCTTAAAAGATCCAACAGGATTTACTTTCAGTAAGTTGTTATCTATTTTGACTAAATGAATGCTCAGTTATATGCTCTTAAACAAGTAGCATTAAAATGCTGATAACTCTATGGTAATGCCCAGATTTTGATTTTAAAGCAATGATACTAATGAATATTTATAGATACAAATACAAAATCAATTGATCAACTTGCCCATTTATTACT